CAGCATTCTTTGTTGTTTTAGGACCGCCCCCATTATTTCAGTTGTATGTTACAGTATAGTTGTTTCTTATCCCATTTGTACAGTCTCCTGATGAAGTCCACTGTGTGGACGAAAGCTAGAGAATAAACTATATATTGTTAGTCTCAAAAGTGCTGCTGTTATTTTCTTTATACTGTTCTATATTGTACAGACTAACGCGGCTATATTATTTATTCATCATGTTACAGTCATTAAGTAATTGATAATTAACAATTGTTCATATTTCATATATTGAAACATTTTTGTATCGCTTTAATGTTGTCAAGTAAGTTTTGTTCTGGGAACCCATTGAAAAAAAGTTTTCTTTTTAAAGACTTATTTTTTACGGTATTGTTCGATAGTCCGATGTCAACAATTGGTGCCCTTTATTTTGTCCTATTTCATATCCAATAATACAGGCGTTGAATCCAGAACCATTGAATCTAATACCATAAAACCACGAATAATAGAAGCCCAATAGGTTTAATCTCGAGAAGAAGCCCATCCTGAATTAAAGACCCCCGCCCCCTTTTAGCTTGTAAAAGTAGCCTTGAAAAGAAGCCCATCTTGAGCTTCTTTTCGAGATAGGCCTAGTACATATACTGTACATGAATTTCAAACAAAATAAATAAATTAAAAGCATACTTGGTTTACACAGTAGTTTATGCGATATAATGCCGGTTAATACTATTGCCCACACTCCATTATACAGACTGATGTTACAGTGGGCCTAATTCCCAAAACTTACAGCATTCATTTTGAAAAGAAACCCCCTCCCCCTCTTTCTCTACTTCTAAAAGAAGCCCATCTCGAAAAAAGCCATCCAAAGTTGGCAGGGAAAAAAAAAAAAAAAAAAAAAAAAAAAAAAAAAAAAAAAAGCCCAGGGCTTCTATTCGAGGTTTTATGGTATCTAAAACCTGGGACTATTTAAAAGATTTCCCTGTCTATTGTTTGCTTATTGGGAACATTTTCTCGACATTTAATATATTGAGAAATGTAATTAAAAAAATATAATAATCTATTTGATTTCGTTTGATTTATTTTGCATTCAATGTAAAATATTACATTAAAATGATGAGAAAATGCATAAAAAAATACAAAGTGAGAAACTACAACTACAACCCAATTAAACACCACTTTTAGGACGAAGGTTTTTCTGGTTTTTAGTAGCTTTTGGTATTAAATTTAAAAAAAAAATATTATTAAAAGATACAAGACAGCATTCACTTGGGCCACTTCACTGAAAGGTAGGCTATGTTCATACACACGGCGTAAGGCTGGCTTAAGCATAGCGTAGCGTATGCCTTTGTGTGTGAACTAGGCAGTGGCGTTGTTAAAGCCACTCACTACGCCACGTCCTTGGCGTTATTAACGATACCTGCAGACCCCAGATTAGCTAACGCCACTGAGCTAACGCCAGTGATGCTTGAATGATTTTACCTCATTCCAAGAGATTGACCAATCACGATTGCAATATATTAGCTACTTTGGTCTCTTTCCTGTGCTCTCTATAAATGAAATGATAAAGGTGTTCTTTTTCTAATGCATTTTACTTAGTTATAATGTTTTGTTAATGATTTGTTGATTGTGTTTTGTAAGATATTTTAACCTATTTAGACTGTTTATTAAAACCTGCAACACCAACAATGCTAGCTGAAAAATCAAAGCAAAATTGTTCATTTGCAATACAAAGTTCACTTCAAACAATTCACAGATTTAAAAGTTTTACTGATGCACTGTTAATTTTACTACAGTTAAGAACCCGTACATTATTTAAAACTTAAAACTATTCCCCCATAGGCCTATATTACTACTAGTTTAACGCCAGCGTTAATATAGCGAACGCTGTTTGTGTGAACACTTTGGAATTTTAATTTGTGAATTAGCTTACGTCTGGCGTAAGCTATGCCAGTCTTACGCCGTGTGTGAACATAGCCGTAGTCTTTAATTGGAGATAGTCTTAATTGAAGGTTGCCTTTAAATGGAAAAGGACTTGTACTTTATGTCATCTGTAATATAAACTATAAGCTGTCGCTCTTATGTTCAAGATTCAAGATTTAATTTGCTTTTCTATAACGTTAATAAATGCCTATAAAAGAAGCTGTCTATTTTTATATTAACCTTACGCCTAGCTTTATAAGTTTCTTCATTTCATTTTATAATTCCATTTAATCTTATAATTGAGAATAATAGGCCTATATATTTTTAGTGTCTACTTTATACATATAGCATTATTCCATCTCTGCATGTGTGCATTTATAATAAATTTAAGAACTATTTACTGTACATTCACTTCAATACGTAAGTTACCAATCATCAAAATTGATGCCCCATGAGAGATATCAAAAGTTTTTTTTGTACGTGTACGTGTCTAAACATATGCAGTCATTTAGTAGTTGAAAATTTTGACATTGTTTGCTCCATAGTTTCTTACTGCTACTCTTCTTGGTCTATAGGATATAACAGTGATACCTGCTGGAATATCTAATCCATCATCTTCATGATCTATTCGTTTTATGAAGACACCATTTTTATCAAATAATTGTAGTTTATCATTACTTGATACTATTATATTTTCATCCATATCCATGGTTACACCATGAGGACCCCTAACTTTACCATCTTCCTTACCACAGCCTACAAGTATTCTCATAAACTTATCATTTGCATCAAACATTTGTAATCTGTTATTTCCAAAGTCAACTACTATCACATAACCTTCCTTTGTTAAAGTGACATATTCCGGTTTATACATTTGAATTTCTTTACTGCCTTCTGAACCTATCTTACCCAGCATTCTACCATCATCAACATTGAATTTAAATACACAATGAGCTGCATAATCTGCTACATACAAGACTCTAGTTTCTCTGTTTACTGTGAGGCCCCATGGATTTCTTATTGTTCCTTTACCAAAGGAGCGAATTTCTTGAAATTTGTCATCACACATAACAACACGTTTTGTAAAATTATCACTATACAACATGTGGCCATCAGCCATTTGATGGACTGAATCGACCTGCGCATCATGTAGCAACTGTATCCTAGCAACATATGAACCAGATTGGTTAAATTTTAGTATATCTTTACTAGCGCTTAATACTAATATACATCCATCTCTATCTAACTCTACACCTGTGATATTCTTATTTTTCTGATGTTCTTTAAAATCTGATATGTTATCAATAGTAAGAACAAGTCCAAGTGTTTCCACCTTGACATTCACTGGAGATCCTTTAATCTGTGCAGCTCCAGCAGTTATCTTCATTTGCCAATCACCTTCCACATTGCATCTACCTGATATTCTGTACTCTCCGCTTCCCTGATATTCTACATCAGTGGCTGACTTTTCACCTGATGGGTTTATTAGAGTTGCAGCTAATTGACGTTCATCATTCTCTGCTTGACTTGATACTTTCACTACAAATGATTCTCCTTTTGTGACTGTAAATGTTTCATCATCTTCTGCAACCTCATACTTCATGCTATCAGTAGTTCTGATTTTACCAAGACCCTCTGTATTCATCAACTCATCTAAGTCAGTAGATGGAATGTAATTTGGTGTACTATTTTTAGTAAATGATTTATCAAAATCAGTTGCTAAGACCTTGTCTCTGACAGCATTGATAACTGTCTTATGGGCTCCTAGAGTTTCTGTTTCTTCTGGTTTGTTCATAATTGTATTAATAGATGTCATCACATCATTTACCTGAGTCAGGTTTAAATCAATATCTCTAACATGACTATCATCATGTTCTTTCTTTTCTTTGCTTACCTCCTCAAGTTCTAACATTAATTCCTTGCTTTTCTTTTGAACTTTCTCGATAATGTTCTTCTCCTGAATTTCAATGGCTATTGTACACAAGGTTATCTGTGAATCAAATAACAATCTATCCTTTTTTATGAAGTCTAGTTTTTTAGTTAATTTCTTTTCCATTTCTTTGGCTAAATTGAAAACTTCAGTGGCATCTTCATTAAACTTATCTATAGCAACTGAAATTGGAATAACGTTGTGTTGTTTTTGATAACATCGGAGGATGTGTTCACATTGTTTACATGCTGATTTGTTACAAGTACAGCAGTAAAATTCTATTGTGATGTTGCTGTGAGTTGGACATTTTGTTGTTTTGTCTGAGCTGCCATCTTGTTCCTTTATGTCTAGTGTGTAAAGAGGATGGTCTTTTGTTGTAGGTATTTTTTCATGACATTCAAAACATTGACCTCTACATAGATACAACTGACATCTTGAGCAGTGGTATGCTGGTTGGTTGTCACAAAAAGAGCATTTAGTTGGTTTCTGCTCCTCTGTTTTTTTAATATACTCTAGTAGTTGACTTATCATTGTCTTTGAAGTAAGCTGTTTTAAATCCTCTTTTGTAAGATCATGTTCTTGTCCACATGTTGGGCATTTCATCTTGCCATGAGTTTCCACCCATTTTTCAATACACTGTAGACAATATGTGTGCATGCATTTCAGTGTCTTTGGTTGGTGAAACCTGTTGAGGCAGATGGCACACTCAAGATCTTTTTTATCCATAAACTCTAATGCCTTGGATACAGACATCTGTAGAGACAACGAAATACCTGGTATATTTGTGTTTTGAGATTAAGAGTTTTAGTAAATGGCAGAAAGTTAAAATATGCAAAAAAAAAAATTACAGGAATAAATTATTATTTGTATACATTGTTTAGGAACTTTTTTTCTTCTTAATTTTGTAGTTGAAACCTTTAACTTCTTTATCAAATGTATGTGGCAGCACTTATCTCTTTAAATAACACATAACATTTATTGTAAATAAATTAATATAATAATTGTATACATTTAAGAATGTTTTTTTATCATAAATTTAGAATTAATAATGTTTTATGACAGCAGCTAGAAACACGTCACGGTAGGTCTATAGCCTACTCTAAGCCTATACTATAAACTACCCACCCCGCCGCCTCTGAATAGTGTCTTACTGTCGAATAGACCATGGAACCTATTAATTTTTTATTAATAGACAAAAAAAGATAACTTCTTGCAAATAAATATACATCCAGGGGCAGAAATTTGATTTTGCATTGCATAAGGATTTAGTTCCGCATTCTGCACCCTAAACCGAAATGCTCAGCCTACGCGCCCCTGTTAACCCTCTATAGTCATTGCAAGAGAATTGAAAATTGCAAAGCGGTATAAACAGGCTTCGTTTCGCCGAAACTGTTCTTATCTTACCTTATCGTATCTCCTAAGCCTGTGTTGACTGGGTATGTACCTGTTTCTACCTGTGATCAGTTGAATTTGGACGTTTTCTGAGGGAACTACGAGATTTTTGATTGTGTTAAGAGTTAGTATAAACAGCGGTAGGTTGTAAAAGCCAATACCTTGAAAGAAAGCCTAAAATACCTTGAAAGAATTAGCAAAGTTCTACCAAAATTTCGCTCTTGCTTGCCCTGGCCCAGTTTAATCGCCCAGTTTCAAGATTGTGGGAATTCCCAATTTGATTCATCGACAAGATGTTTAATGAAAATCGCTGTCAAACATATAGCATTCATGATTTTGGGTTGTGTTTTTATTTAATTACATTTGGTACTTAGAATCTTTTGAATGTTTAGTGTTAAAAATTAGACATTTGACTACAGTAATTGTTTTTTGTGTGAATTTATTCTAGGAGGAAATTGAATTTTCTCGAAGGAAACTGAATTCCTCAGAGGAAACCCACGACAGTGCGATAAATCCAATAATTTGTATCAGGCAAAATCGGGTCTGGATCCCCTGCCCTATATTGGGCCGTTTGTAATAAATGCCATTGCTGAAATATGCATGTCCCTGTATGTCATGTATTTTAGTACATTACCAGGCGGATCCAGTCCGGGGAAAAGGGGCCTCAATTTGTTGTTTTGCTCTTATTTTTACACACTTTTCAAAAATAGAAAATTATTATTGTATTAATGTTGTATATAGAATAGAAGGTAGTACATGCCAGTAGTCGTATCTGCTGCTACTGTATGTGACTAGCTTGATTTGTTGGTTTTCTAGTATTTAAAAATAAAACTTAATGACACTATATTTCAGCCTTAATTTGTTTATATTTTGCTCTTATTTTTAAGCCTCGGTGTTCTTATAAAAAAAATGTATAGGGCGTATTATAATGGTAGGGTACAAGATAATCGAATGTGAGCGAGAATGTAAATCTATTTCTTGACGTAATATAGGTGGTCTATCGCGAATGCAATGACCATAATTTTTAAAGACTTTATAGAGATTAATGATATTTTATGTTTTCGTTTGTCATATCAAATATAAAACTCACTCCATCTTCTCTAGTTTTGAAATATTTAAGACGTAACCTCAGAAAAAACTAGTTTGGAAAAAGTCCAGCTAAGCTATAGAAAGTTACACGGTTTTTCAGAAATTAGAGAAATGAATAACTTAATTTAACCATTTCTGCGTTCATTTCACTGTCCACATAAGAAAATAAACTGAGATTGGTCCAAGCAAATCGAATATCAAATTTGTAAAATATATTTCTATGTTAATATAATTATATTAGAATATATTTTATATTTTGATTGTAACAATTATAATTATCTTTATAAATTTTCGATATATCGTTTAGGCTCGTTTTATCATATGCACACATTGTATGAGTATCCTTTATTTCTTCTGTAGTATTTTTCGGTCCTAAGAACGTTCGGAGTGCGCTACTTCACAGGGGGATTCGCCCACCCCCCTTGACCCCGCCGGGGTCATACGTAATTCGCATAACGGCTCCCCCCTTTCAAAATCCTGGCTACGTCCCTGGTAGGGGCAATGGATCGCCTATTGAACATAAAATGTTCATTTATCTTATCAAACAGGGCCTATTATGTAAACTATTTTCTTATATTGTAAATAATTATTAGCCAATAACAATTGTAGAGACATATAGCAGTTGCCACACAGCACAATAATGACCATAACCGTTTTGCTTAAACCTCGATGGTATGTTTCTGCCGCCTTGTCACTCCAACAGCAATGGCAAGCCTTATATATACACCATTTAAATGCCCGACATATTGCAGAGCGCTACATATAACATCAAGTCATGTGAGTATCGGAAGATGGAGTTATCGCCTAGTTCTCGAACTTTCAAAATTCCGTTTTTCCCCGTTAGTCAGATTTCCCCTCTCCCCTACTTTCCTGCATTTTGTGAAGTACGTTTCTTTGCAAATATGCCTGTGAAGCACCGTCAAAGTTTAGACGTGTAGAAAGACGTCCTAATAAATTGCACTAAACTTTCCCGACCCCATAAGTGAGGGCTCCCTGATGAGGATCATAATCTACCCCTACTCTTCAGAAAGACTCATTTGCTCCTCTCAAACGAAACAGATTTTCGAGCACAGAAAAATCCCATTACTGACAATGGGCTGAGACCATAACACGACGATCTGGGCGGATGTAGGGTGGGTGATGAGGGAGGTGCAGACGGTCTGATCGCACCCACTAAATTGTATTAAGAAAAATAATTGTTGTATTTTATTGTTGATATGAATTACCTGTAATATTTTTAAGGTATGAGAGTGTAATTTCCGGGCACCTAGAGGTCAATATTCTCAAAATGTTCGCACCTCAGCCCCAATTATGGTGCGGGCTAAGGTGGTATGGACTCTCATGCACCCTCTACCGCCAAATTCTGAGTCCTGCCCCAGACAATGATAATTTAAGGGATGTGATAAACAGTGACAAGGTTCTTGAAGAATATTACTAGTATTTGTGAAGGTGGCATCGAATAAAAAAAGGGAATAAGGCCTGATTTGGCAGTGATTTAAGGGCGAGGCAAAGCACCCCCCCCCCCTTACAATCCCAAAAAGGAAAACCATCAATAGATAGACGACGTATTTTATGAAAATCATAATTTACAAAAATATTACTGAGTGAAAATAAGTTAAAGTCGGGAATGTATTGCTTTCTCAGGCCTTTATAAAAAGGACACACAAACAGGAAATGGGTTTTTTTTTGTATAACACAATTATCGCAAAAAATAAACATATTCTATTTTCTTTAGTAATATTCATTTGACGACCTCTTTCTATTAATAAATTATGGTTTGACAAAAGAAATCTTGAAATTGTTGTTCTTAGTTTAAAATTTAAAATGAAAAATATATTTGTTTAGGGAATTTGGTATGTTTAGTTTGCTATAAAATGTTAATCTTATTTTATCTTTAATCCTTTCATTTCCTGTTTGCAGTACAATGTCCCGAACTCTCTGAAAAAATTGCTAAGAAATTCTCATTTACAGGCGAGTCCCACATGTACCAAAATCCAAACATATTTAAAATCGATTTTATTCCAAATGCCCAACAGTCGGTTCCGTTTCAGGTGACAATCTTTGCCTTTGATAACATATTTTTGGTAACTTAGAATTTTCCATCATATTAATTTTTATCCAGTAACTTATCATTTTAATAACGTGATAAAATTTAATGGTGAACCTTCCCAATTCATTTCTTACTCCTTCATTTGGAGCGGACCACTGGACATTTAATACAAATTTACAATGTCTTAAATAAACGTTTTCTATAAATTATACCCCCAAAATAGTAAATATAACGCATCCAATTTAATGAACTTTAAAATTTCCTGATAACAAATACTTAATGTAAAAAGTATGTGTTATATACCAAAAGAAAGAACAATACAAAGACTTCAATTTAATACCATTTGTGTTATTCAATGACTATAATTGTAACATGCATAAAAATTGATAGTAGGGCCTATAAGTATGGCTATTTTTCGCAAATTTAGCAAGTGCAAAAATCATTGGGTTTACTGTTAAGTTTGACATAATTCTGTATTTACTCCAGCTTCATACTTTCAAGCTACTGATTTATTGATTAATTGTAATTACTGTTTTGAAAGAAATAAATAAATGTGATTTGAATTAATATTTTTTGTTAAGGCCTTTATTAACACAATCAAGTTCTTTAATTATTTCCTTTTCTACAGCATTCCTTTCTTCTTTAGAACTACATTCCTTGAGTACAGCTACACGAAAGTAGTGTCCTTTTTCACTGAAGTGTTTACCTACACCTGTAGCTTTATTTGCAATGTCTCTTTTATGACCACTGATACGCTTTTTAAGGGTTAGTACAGTTTGTCCTATGTATACCGCATCGGGACATCTACTGCAGGTCATGGCGTAGATAACATTCGTTGAATTGCACGAGAATCTTCCTCTGATGACGAATATTTTCTGATTAGGTCCTGTGATACTAGAAGAGCTGTTTATATGCTCACATAGCGCGCATGCGCCGTGTCCACATGGGATTGTACCGTTGTTGGATATGGTGAGGCTGATGGATGATTCTTCTGGTTTCAGATTAGGTGATAAACAGAAGAGGCTTAATGTTATGTATCCCTCATTTAACTTTACATCTGTCACATTTTGTTGTTCTTCATGCTCTTCATAAACCAGAGTTTTGACCGTGATAATAACTGGAGAATGAGCTCCAGTAGTGATCTCCATTTGACAGTCACCTTGAGTGGCAAGCATTGGAGTGGCTGCAACTAATATAGATGCATCACTCTCTTCTAGACTTGATAATTCGAATGGTTCTCCTTTTGTGAATGTATCGTTTGCAGCACCCTTCGTCTCGCTGTCAGTTACATTTTTACCAGATGCACTCTCATCATATACCTGAGCCAAGTTTGAATCAATATCTAAAACTTGGCTACCGTCATCTTTTTTCTTTCCATTGTGTATCTCTTCAAGTTCCGATATTAATTCTTTGCTTTTCTCTTGGACTTTCTTGATAATTTCCATCTCCAGATTGTTAATGGTTGTTATACATAACTCAAGTTTTTCTCTTAATTTATTTTCATTTGATAAATTACTTACAATGTGATTGTTATGAAAACAGCTATCTGGTTTACATTGCTTACATGCTGATTTGTTGCAAGTGAAGCAGAAATATTCCAGTGTGGTGTCGGTGTGTACAGGACAACTGGCTATTTGGACTGAGTGACCATCTTGTTCCTTCAAGTCTAGTGTGGTTTCATCCATAAACTGTGGCTTGGGTAATACAGACATTTTAAATATACATTGCCACCTTAAATGTTAAAAAATAAAACTGCACGTAAGTTATCAACTTTCTACAAATCACAATGTAAAAATTAGTTTATGATTATGATTTTCTATGATTTATGACTGTTATTTAAAAGGTAATTGGTGAGTAAAGCATTTGAAGGATATATGTATTTAAAAATCGACAATGCCATGTATGCGGAGGTCCCAGGGACTCTCTTGCTGTTTTGGGTTTTTTCACCATGCCTTTAAATCACTTTATAGATTGTAAAAGGCCAGCTAAACAATACTAATAATTTGGGTATGATGAGAATAAGATAATAGACGTTCCCGTAGTATATACTGTCCCTACTGCATGGGGATGGCTTATGAACAAACAGTCAGC